TATCAACTGCTTCTAGAGTTCCAATTTCGTGACTAGTATCATTTGATTCATCCTCTATAATATATCCAGGAATATAATTGTATTCTGAGTCACATTGAGAACTATGAGTGCTTTCCGAATCTGAGCTACTGCCTGACATGATCTGACATGCTGGAAAATATATCAAATGTATAATGCGCGTCGAAATTAAGTCCCTTAAGCTACGTCACACCACGCTCGTCCCAGACTCTTGTTGATACGCGACAATTTTACGAAAATCGCTGTTTAGAGCCTCGTATCTCGCGAATGAAAAGAGAAAACCGAAAAATGTTAAAGAACCTATTAACTAACTTTTTGTCCTCTACCAAATATCAAAAAAAAAATTTTGTGACATAAGCACTTTAAGCCAGTTACAGACATGGGCGAGATCTGAATTTAAATTTACAACAAGTTCATTTGTATCGTAGGAAGATGAAAAGATTTGAGTATCATCCGCGTACATGCATGGATTAGTTGATTTAAAACAATCGGGTAAATCATTAATATATAATAGGAACAGCAGTGGTCCCAGTATAGATCCCTGGGGCACTCCACAGGTGATAATTTTATTACTAGATAATTCTCCATTAACATTACATTGCTGTTCTCTACTTGTTAAATATGACTCAAACCATTTTAATTCTACGCCAAAAATTCCAAATTGCTCATTCATTTTATTTAACAAAATGCGATGGTTTATAGAGTCAAATGCCTTTTTGATATCTATGAACACAACCCCATTCAACTTTCCATTGTCCATATTTTCTAGCCACACACATTTGGATGAGGGCAGTTACAGTTGAATGCTTTGGACGAAATCCAGATTGAAACTTTGACAGAAGAGAGCTTTCAGACAAGTATCTATATACTTGACGGAAAACTTCCTTCTCAAAGGCTTTACTCACCACCGGTAAAATTGAAATAGGCCGATAGTTCTCACATTGTCTTTTATCCCCGGATTTAAATATTGGCGTAACACGAGCCAGTGGCGAAGCCAGCGTCGTGTGAGTGGTCATGCAAACGAGCGCCGAAGGCGTGAGACATCCTAGGGGGGTCCGGGGGCATGCCCCCCCGGAAAATTTTTGAAATATATACCCCAGAAACGACATTTGCAGCAATCTGAGCATCAAATTTCAGAAAATAGCTTGATGTAATGACGGGAAAATATGTGGATATTTTGGCATATTTCAGACAACAATAATGAAGATCGACACAAAAATAGGAAATCTGTGGTCTGCAGTTCCGCTAATTATAGTCATACCGGCAATTGTGCATTTCTTTTCGATCAGAAAATATTACATGCATGTTCTATATTATCATAGTCTGTATAGACTACCTAATTTTTAATTGATTACTTTGATATGCTATCCCCTGGTAGTATTCCAACGTGAAGTCTGAAGAGTTTTCACATTTCCAGAACTAGATACAATTTTATCCAATATACTAACGGAACATAATGACAAATAGCTGCTAATACAGTCAGTATAAATCTAGAATATAGGTATAATATGCAGGACTTGGAAAATATAACGCATGAGCCTTGATCAATTTCCTTAACTTTAAAATCAATCGCCCAATTATTACAATATTACATACAGAAATGAATTAAGCATTATCAGATGTTTGAGTAGAAGTTTTACTGTCAGTTTTATAGCCGAATTCTGCATTCATATCTATTATTGGCTATTGCCAATATTGGATCAGTTTTCGAACGCATGGGGAGTATGTACCAAATGGTAAATACAATTTAACAATATATATTGAAATTTCTTTGTTTGTTTCACAAACAAGTATATATCAAATATGTTGCTAAATCACAATCGCTAAAATGTTTGTGTTGCGTGTTGAAATGTATAAGCTTTGCAGCGCTATTTATAGAACTACATTGTTTACTACATTGACCTCGACATTGACATTGTATTTCATATAGTATATAGCGTTCGACGCTTTATACGCCTATGCTCGGGTTGAAGGCTTAAATATTCAAGACAAAATACATGTAACAATAACTAAATACCAATAGGCAATAGCTTATTTAGCCTAAGCCTGACTGGCTAAGCCATTCTTTCTTTGAATACCACGACATTTGAAAACCTTCCCGATCGGGCATGTCGAAAGATCTGGCGTTTGTCTCTGCTAATAAACAATAACATTCTGCTCAGCAGAAAATGGTTTTTTCACCAATTCCCAAACAATATCGTTAGCTTCGAGTAAAGAAGAAGTCGACATGCTTGAATGACCTGAAGACGTGTTCATTAAGGCTGAAAGCTTCGAGCTAAGAGGCTGTGATCTGGTTGTGTTGCCCGTTTAGTCATGCAAATTGAAAATTGCATGACCAAGGCGTCAAAAACAGCCGCATTGCGCGTGCGCGAACGTCGTAAGCCAATCAGAAACCAACAAACCTAATATAAAATAATACAGCTAGTCATGAAACTCTGAAAATGCATGACCAAAACACACAGCGAGCAAACCACGCAGCAATCACACGCAATCTTTTACCACGCGCTTACGCAACCGGTCATGCATGTGAAAATATGCAGGACCGCTCAGTTGCCAAGGTAACAAAGCCAAAATCAATAACATACGAGAATATTTAGCAAGAATATCGCCTAAAGTCCATTGATTTGGGTAAACAAAATAATAAATAAAATACTTAGGCATAGAAGTGCAAAGATAAAGTATAATTCTATTGTAAACAATTATACTGAACTGATTTTAAAACATTTTTGGGGAAATTTTTAGTCATGCACTGCATGACCTGCATGACCGCTGGCTTCGCCCGTCACGAGCACGCTTCCATTCATCTATATATACGCCTGTTGCAAGCGACAGATTGAAGATGAATGTCAACGAGGGTGCAATTATGTTTGCAGATAATTTTAGAATTTTAGCACGAATTTTATCAAGACCTGTTGCTTTACATGCTTTTAGGCCTCTTAGGGTCGAGGCAACACTATCAACGGATATTGGAGATACTTTAAAAAAGTATCTGAGGATTGATTAATATTATAGTTTATGGGCTGATTATCAACATTACTACAGGACTCGTCTACATATTCTGCTGCTAGCCTCGACCCAATACTAATGAAATAGTCATTAAATGCATCTGCAATAGATTTAGGATCCGAAACTAACGTGCTGTCAACCAGCAGCTCATTCACATTGTTGGATTTGTTATTCTTTCCCAATAATGAATTAATTAATTTCCAAGTCTTTTTAGGGTCATTCATTACAGAGCAATCAGTGATTTTATCATGAAAATATTTTGATTTTACATTTCGCATTTCAACATTCACTTTATTCCGCAGAAATTGAAAACTTTCCCAATGTGGCCGAGAGGAATGTTTTATTGCATATTTTTTATGATAGTCTCTGTTTCTCATCATACATTTAATTTCCTGAGTAATCCATGGGACCGAGTTCCCCTTTACTCTCTTATGTCGAATCGGCGCATGTATATTTAATATCTCATTAAAGAAAGATTTCCATACCCTCCAGCATTCGTTGGGATTATTATATTGATTAATTACATGCCAAGGCATTCTGGCTAAATCCCCAATAAAATATTCAGCATTAAAATGTTTATAATCCCTAACTTCTTTCACATTAGGTTTAAGTTTTGGAAGGGTGAACTTCCTGACCACATAAATCAAACTATGGTCAGACATCCCCAGATCTATTACACCAGACGTCGAAATGTTTTCTTTAGCATTAGTTATCAAGGTCGCCGAGGTGTTGGTCTCTCTTGTAGGTTTATTAATTAATTGGTCAAGTTGATAAAGAGAACACAAAAAGTTTAATTGTCGTGTATCGGCATCTGGTGAGGTTTTCATAACATCGCAGTTAATATCACCAATTATAATCAATTCCTTATTTTCAGACTCGCATTTTTGAAAAAATACATCACAATCATTAAATAAGCTCAAGTTTGACTTCGGAGGTATAGCACTGCCAGGTATAGCACTGTCAGTGGCCAAAGTCTATTGAATGAACAACGCACGAGTCAATGCAAAAATAACGAAAATTAGAACACCGAATCGTTTTGAAAACCTGTACTAAGCCGGACTGCCGAAGCGAAGGCCTTTCAATGCTTTCACGAATCCACGTATACATGAAACATCACTTGATGCAAAATATGTCCACTTTTGAAGACCCACTAGAAATATTAGTGGCTACGTAGTGAGTTTTAATTACGCATGTGTAGTAAGGTGAGACGGATTTATGAAAACTGCATGCACATAGAAATGCGCACGACCACAATTCCATGCGACGCTAAAAATCTGCTTTTTTACTGCCTACTGCACAAATTAGGTTGCTGCTTCGCTCGCTCGCTTCAGGCTCGCTCGCTCCGCAGCAATAATATCACAATTGTTTGCGCATACATCCAAAATGACATCAAGGTCTCCAAACTCAAGGAAAGTTCATCTGTCTCTGAAAACTATTTCCATCAGCTTTGGCTGAAACTTCAAAGTAAAAAGTTAAAATCTATCGTAATATGCATATCCTACAGACCACCAGAGTGTCCGCTGTCCTACCTGGAAACCAACTTAAAACCGAGTTTTGTCCAAGCCCTTTTACTAAACAAGCCCATTTTTATATTGGGAGATCTGAATTGCAACGTTATGAAGGATTGTCCAGAGAACACAGCACTAGGAAATTTCATGTTCGAGATGAACTTGAACCAATTAATCATAACACCAACTAGAATAACAGACACTAGTGAATCGTTAATTGACGTGATAATAACTTCAGCTTCCCATCATGTCAACGAAAGCTAGTGGTGTCATGGATACTATTATAAGTGATCATTTACCGGTGTACGCAGTTCTTAATATGAAGCTACCCAAGCCACCACCTCAATACATCCTAACGCGAAGCTACAAAGACTATGACGGAGAAAGGTTCACCGCCCACCTTGCATCAAGATCGCAAGAGCTTATTTCCGTCTTTTCGGATTCCAATGTCAATTCCAAACTTGACAATTTTAACAACGTCCTTCTTACAACCCTGGCTGTCCATGCTCCCGTTAAAATAACTAAGATTCAAAATCGCTCTTGTCCCTTCATCACAACAGATATCAAAAATCAAATGTCCCACAGAGACCAACTCCACCGTCGCTATAAACGAACACGCGATATCGATGATTGGAGAGCATTTAAAAACGCCCAAAGATCAGTCAAATCCACTCTAAAAGCTGCTGAAAAACAACATGTTCGAACTAAAGTCAACCTCCATAAAGATAATTCTAAATCGTTGTGGAAAGTGATTAATAGGTGCATTCCATCTAAAGATAAAAGAATTTTGACTTACCACAAAAATACATCAGAGGTGGCCAACGATTTCAACCAGTTCTTTCAATCTGTGGGAAAAAGAGCTGCCGAAACAGCTGAAATGTTAGCTAGCCCTACAAAATAATTTTAATATATCAACTGAGTTAGAGCCTTAGAATAGGAGATCTGAATTTTTCTCTGCGGAATTGTTCAAGTTTACTCCCGTCACATGCACAGAGGTTCAACGCATAATAACAACAATGCCGTCGAATAATCTCCAGGACCAGACAAAATCAGCATGCGGATTATTAAGGATTGTCTTCCGGTCATACTCGGCCCATTGACAGACATAGTTTCCATTGTTTTGTATTTTATTAGAATACTCAGTGGTTATGGAAAATCATTTACCACCTCGGCGTTCCCTGAGTCCTGGAAAATAGCAGAAATTGTTATATAGCTAGTGTGAACACCATACGTGATTGGCTGATTTGTAGTCACGTGGCTTTAGATAAATGCAATGTATCCCGCCCGGGCAATAAGTGAAAAATTGTTGCCCGCCCCGACCGGTACGTACATAAATAAACAAAATGGCGGCACAAATTTATACTATTTAAACTACTGTTTTCGTGGCTTTGTGTTAAAGTAAAGAATCTAAAAGAAAAGAAAAATACATAACAGGCAACAGGATATGCTGCTGAAACCATTTAAGTAGGTTTTTTAAATTTTAAACTCGTTTACGCTATAGAGTTTTTGTCATGAAATACAAATATTGTTGTATGAATGTTGTTCAATGTTGATATTTGTTTCGTCGCTATATAACAAAACACTTAACGTCTTTTCCCTCGGCAAATAGTTAGTTTTGTTTTCCCTCGAATCTCAATGTTTCCCTCGACTTCGCCTCGGAAGATTCTCGCATTGAGATTCTCGGGAAAACAAAACTAACTATTTCCCTCGGGTGCAGACATTAAGTGTATATTATACCACTTTTAAAGGAAGGTGATCGTTAAATTGCTGCAATTAAAAACCGCCCACTTTCAATGCTTAAAGTACTATAAAAAATCTGTGAAAAAGTTGCCCTAAATCAATTTAGCGGTTTTCTTAACCGCACTGACCGCCTATCCTCCCAACAAAGTGGAAACAAAAAGTATCATTCAACCCAAACACTCAGTATATTAGTCAATGATTTTTTGCTAAAATCGACGGACAACAAAAAACTTACTGCGCTAGTCTTTTTGGACCTCTGAAAAGCGTTTGACAGCGTAGACTATTATGGGGTTTCAGGTGAAGCCCATAACTGGTATGAAAACTACATTACAGATAGAAAGCAGTTCGTTCGCATTGGCTCCTCGGTATCCGAAGTTTTACCAATTACCCACAGAGTGCCTCAGGGAGCAATATTGTCACCACTATTGTTCTGCATCTATATAAATGACCTCTCAAGAGTATCACAAGCATCTGAGTTGGAATCATTCGTCGACGATTCTATGATCTTTATGTCATTTCCAATTGAAGATATTGCCAGTGCAAAAACAAAGATAGAAGGGAACCTCAAATTGGTCGCAGCTTGGTTTTTTGAAAATAAATTGTTGATAAACCCCGAGAAGACAAAGTTACTCTTGATAGGGACTCGTCAACTGCTCGGTAAGCTCCTTGAGGATCGAGACGACAATTACATTTCTTGGAGAAGAGATTACACCAACCACAAATGCCAAAGACCTGGGATTAACCCTAGACAGTTATCTGACATACGATTACCATATCAAAAATATTGTATCATCTTGTATGGCCAAGCTATGTCAGATAAACAGAGTAAAGGATAGCTTTGATAGGGATAGACTTCGCTTAATTATTAATGCTTTAGTAATGAGCAAACTTTATTATTGCTCTACAGTATGGTCACTAACACCTCCGCAACAAATACAAAGAAATTGAGAGCAGTACAGAATTTTGCTTGTAGGATATTGACAAATACGGGAAGATATCATCATGTAACACCAACACTACGGGCAATTCGCTGGCTTCCTGTAGAGGAACACTTAAAATATAGAGAGAAACTAATAACATACAAATGTATGAACGGATTAGCACCACCTTACCTTTCCAAATTATTTATAAAAAGAAATGAAATTCACGATCTAAATACAAGGAATAATAAAGCGCTACACATCCCTCAACACAAAAGTAAAACTAAGTCAGTAAAACTAAGTTAAAGAACAAGATGCTAAACAACGACTAATTACATTTTCTCATATTATAGATTTAATGGATTTTAAATAGACAAATAGATTTAATGGATTTAATGGATTTAAAAGATTTAATGGATTTTAAATAGACAAATACATTTAACAAATAGATTTTAATAGATTTAATGGATTTTAAATAGACAAATAGATAGACAAATAGATTTTAAATAAACGCTAATTCATTTTGTAAATAGGTATTGAAAAACCTCTCCGGGAATACTTCATTGAATAATAATAATAATAATAATAATTGTTGTAAGGTAGATATCAAGATTTTTGTGGTATCTCACTCGAATGAATAATATTTGATGGATGTTGTGGATGGAAATTTTTGAGTGAAATTTTCTATATACATTTATGCGGCCTATAAGCAGAAACAGAAGCCAAAAATTCCTGCCTTCAGGACCTAAAGTTGCATTTTTCCCTTCTGTTCATATTTAGGCCTAATAAATGTATATATAAATTTCCACTCGACAAATTCCATCTGCAATGCACATCAAATATTGTAAGATAACAGTCTAGGCTAAGTAGGTAATATATAATATATAGTTAAGCGTAATATTTGATGAAAAGGCCCGATAGGGAGTGAACTAATTAATAATATAGCACATCATGCCAAGACATGTCCTGTGACCTTTGTCCAGCGGTCCTGGACATGCCAATACATGTCCTGCATGTGACATGTCCAGTGGTTCTGTCACGTTTACACACGCGGTATTACATATTTTTGAATCAAGAAAACCATCGATCACGTTTCACCGAGGGGTCCATCACGGTGGAAATCGCTACACTCACTCCAGAAATCAAATTAGAAATCAGGAACTCAGCTAGAAATCGCTTGAAATCAGACTATTTCGAAATCTTAATGAAAATGGCTTAAAGTGGTATTGGAGAAACGAGCTTGTCTCATTTTCCCGTATTTCCATATTTCACAATTACGATAATATTTTGTCTCTAAATTACTTTAAAGTTTCGTATTTTTCAGGCAACGAAATGTACCAAAACTGCAGTAATTGATACCTTCAGGAAATCTTGAAACCATGCAGTGTTGAAATCAATTGTAATCACCCTTATACTGCATGTCATCGCATCACGTGCGAGAAAATTGTTTCGCTTTCCTGATTGAATTACAGATGCATTGCGAAGCGAGTTTTCTCATAAGTAAATCCATTCGTAAAATAAAGAGTAATAATAAAAAAATTATGTTCATCGCTATTTAATAAGTACAATCGCGGTCACACTAGCGCTTGTGTTTGAGGATTGCCACCTGATTAGCGTGCTTGCCTGAACACGTACCAAGCTTGGTGCTAGAATGTATAGCCAAAAAAAGTAATGCAATCAATCAGTGGACGGTTCCGGCAATTCTAAAATTGAGAAAATTCTGAAAGTTAAAAGTTAAATTTGCAGCAAATCTATCTTTCGACTCACATATTTCTTATCGATAACACAAAATTCCATATCCTTTTCGATGTCATAAATTATTTTTGAAAAATGTCTAAAAGCCCTACCTTATTTTTCATAAAAGAGTACCCTTTTTTGAGATTTGTGTGATAAGTCAATTGGTTCGTTTTAATTACCCTTTTACGTCGATCCAAGTTTCAACTAAAATTATCTAGCGAATTTATACAAATCAAATCTCCATAAAAATAACTGAAAAAGGTACGATTATCGCTCAACTGCATCGTTTTGTAAAATGACGAAAAAGGGTACCCTTTTCGGTCAACCATGTTATTTTGTAGTAAGACAAAACAGAGTACCCTTTTCGGTCAACTATGTTCTTTACATAGTAATATGAAAAAGGGTACCCTTTTCTGTAAAATATGATATTTTATAATAAGACGAAAAAGGGTACCCTTTTTTTTTAATCTGTTGATACTCGATCGGATTAAAAATGGTCTGGAATTTTATCAACTGCGTTAACGCGTTAACGCACGTTAAAGCATGGCGTTTAATTTAAGTGTATACCAATTCAAGAAAGAGTATAATTTATTCGCTTATTGTCAAATCAAAATGGCGGAGTACTAAGTACTTGGCGCAAAATATCGAAGATGTGAAAAACTATGTTCAAAAGAATTCTACTTTTCGGCAGATTAGCGACATTTTCAAGCAGCATTTTCCTGGGGTTAGTCGTGGTTTCTCGGAGAGAAACATTCGGTTATTCATGCCGTTCAAAACGTGGAATAAGGAAACTGGACAATTTTGAAGTGGACACCATGCATTATTCAACAGTCTATCAATGAGCTATTGTGTGCTGTAACTGATTATTTTAAATAGATATGTAATACGTATATAGCGTTGGGTAATATTGTGAAGACAAAAGAGTTTAATATTCATAATTAATTTAAAAAGTATAGCGAGCTAACGCAACTGGAAAGACATATAATAATTATATTCTATATTATAAGTCTTTCCAGTTGCGTTAGCTCGCTACACTATAATTATGAATATTAAACTCTTTTGCCTTCACAATATTACCCAACGCTATACGTATACATATCTATTTAAAATAATCAGTTACAGCACACAATACCTCATTGATAGACTGTTGAATAATGCATGGTGTCCACTTCAAAATTGTCCAGTTTCCTTATTTCACGCTTTGAACTGTATAACCGAATGTTTCGCTTCGAGAAACCACGACTAACCCCAGGAAAATGCTGCTTGAAAATGTCGCTATTCTGCCGAAAAGTATAATTCTTTTGAACATAGTTTTTCACATCTTCGATATTTTGCTCCAAGTACTCCGCCATTTTGATTTGACAACAGGCGAATAAACTATACTGCTTCTTGAATTGGTATACACTTAAATTAAACGCTATGCTTTAACGTGCGTTAACGCAGTTGATAAAATTCCAGACCATTTTTAATCCGATCGAGTATCAACAGATTAAATAAAAAAGGGTAACCTTTTTCGTCTTATTATAAAAGATCATATTTTACAGAAAAGGGTACCCTTTTTCATATTACCATGTAAAGAACATAGTTGACCGAAAAGGGTACTCTGTTTCGTCTTACTACAAAATAACATGCTTGACCGAAAAGGGTACCCTTTTTCGTCATTTTACAAAATGATGCAGTTGAGCGATAATCGTACCCTTTTCATTTATTTTTATGGAGATTTTATTTGCATAAATTCGTTAGATAATCCGGGTTTTTTCGCTTTTAGTTGAAACTTGGATCGACGTAAAAGGGTAATTAAAACGAACCAATTCACTTATCACACAAATCTCAAAAAAGGGTACCCTTTATGAGAAATAAGGTAGGGCTTTTAGACATTTTTCAAAAATAATTTATGACATCGAAAAGGATATGGAATTTTGTGTTATCGATAAGAAATATGTGAGTCGAAAGATAGATTTGCTGCAAATTAAACTTTCAACTTTCAGAATTTTCTCAATTTTAGAATTGCCGGAACCGTCCACTGATTGCAATCCCCGACAATATTAATCTTTAAGTGGTGCTTTCCGCCCAGCGAGATGTCAATCGCTACTGTTCTGAAACGCGGAATCAGTTATAACTTGATCGAGTAGAGCAGAAATTATTCAAAGCAGCTAAAATTACGGCAAGTGTTTGCCAGTGTGTGCGGGAGTTTAGGTTTTTGTCGAGGGCTAGGGTTAGGATTAGGATCATACATTTCTTTACTTAGCCTGGCCATATCTTGCTGCGCTCTTCACTTTAGTTCGAAATTCGAACGCGTAATATGAAGAATTTCGGTTAAATATTCAGTTGGGCATACCCTGGTTCCAGAGGTTCTTTGCGAGGCGAAGGAAACGAGAGACGAGAAGGAAGAGCCTGTGGTTACATCGGTTGCAAATACCACTTCAGTACACCAACCTCGTGCCCAGGCTATTTTCTCTCATATTCGGTGCCACAGCCACTTGCTGACCCTGGATACGAGGATACTTCTACATTTGATAGGTTCAGAATTTGAATCTCGCATGTGATTGGCCATTTGTAAAAATATGTCAAAACGGTTTGGGAAATAAACATTAATAGCTATAATTACCTTACAGTAATGTTTATTTCCCAAACCGGTTTGACATTTTTACAAATGGCCAATCACATGCGGGATTCAAATTCTGAACCTATTCAAGTGTAGAAGTGGGATTTGCAACCGATGTGACCAGAGGCAGACGCTCTTCCTTCTCGCCTCTCGTTTCTTTCGCTTCGCAAAGAACGTCTGGAACTAGGGTAAGTTGGGCATTGCCGATCGCTTACACGCGTCTTGCTAAAACAGAAATTATTTATCAAAAGCAGTGTTCGAGGGAAAACTGGAAATTTAGAACAATTTCAGCACACTAGTTGATCGACAAATTGGTTTAATTAAGATTACATCATTTGGATTACATGTTCCTACACTTCAGTTTAGATTACATAAAGGACCAACCCTTGATTGCATTTCGCAATGCAAAGTTTTTAACCATGCAATTCTGATAATTGAAAAATGTTGATTAAAATAAAGCGAATATACGATAATCATCAACTTAAAGTAAAATTAATATGGTGCTATTACCACTATGTGATTATATAGTCCCCTAACATTGAAGATATACTGTGATTGAATCTAGTTCCTTTACTATACTAATTAACCATATATGTTAAATGAATCTTAAATGTGAATGACCCGATTTATGCTAGAGACGGCCAAATTTGGACGAATTTTTGCGAGCGGAAAAATTAAGATATTTCGAAGGCATTAGACAAGCTATCAGGAAATATCAGGCACGATTTGTTCCCAGAACCATTGAGGGATGAAAATTGAAAGAAATATGATGAAAAATGTTGACAGATTAAACGATGAGCCACGCTCACAGTTTCCCTGCAATATTTTATTTCGTCTGGATGGTTTATCTATCGTGTTTACACTAAACTTTAAGGTCATGTCACGCGGAGCAACCTTTTGTTGCAACTTCAGATATGCAGAGCCAAATGAATGAGTCATGTTATCTAAAACGTAGTTACAGAGAAATAATGAACATGGCCCGCATTCCATTCTGCCGAAACTTTATTTACACGTAACATAGTCTTAAGGATGAAAATGAAAGAAACGCGGGATGAAAAATGTCGGCAGAGTAAACCGTGGACGATGCTCAGAAATTTCCAATCTTTTATAGCTAGCAAGGCTTTTCTGTGACAGAAACTGCCTGGAAGTTGCAGCAGATATTGCATCGTGCAACATATGACCGAATGATCCGTCTGACAGATGATGCGTTTTGACGAATGATCCATCTCTAGTGTAAATCGGACCACTCAGTTTTTTTAATGAACCAACAAGTATGCCATGGCGCTGGCATTCTTGTTTCCGTTGTCTGCATTACACTGGGCAAGATTACCCGCGGCGTTGGCAGATGTATGTGAAGACATGCACCAGCCCTGATAATTCAGACCACCTCCACCTCCCAGGCCTACGAAAGAGTCTGGTGTATTACAATCATTTTCTTGGTTTGCTATCACGCCCATCCGAACTCTTGTGTGTCGCTGACTATTAACGTATATGTTAAATCCCTCTCGGATACAGTTGCGCTGTAAGCGGATGATCCAAGGATCAATGATTTCCATTGCGCGCGACCAAGGCGAGTTTGCCGATAGTTGCCGTCTGCGATCAGATCAGACAGAGATGATGCCGGGTACGAGAAAGAGAATGCTCTTAAACGACCACCATATTTCATGCCAACGCAAATTTCTCTAAATGAGGTTTGCCAATAAGTCGTCCTTTATATTGTCGGTTGTCTAAACCGCCGTTTCGCCCATAGGCATTGTCATTGTAAGTGCTTCTGCTCGTCCAATAACAGGAACTGTATTTGAAAGTACTCTATAAAAACAAATACTAAGGTTTAGTCAGATTATATATACTAAAACTGTCTATACCAGTGTAGGTAGTACCAATGTAGAAATGCTGTGCTGAGTGGTTATATTACTACCTTAAAAATAAGCAGAAACTCGACGTTTCGAGCGAAGGCCCTTCGTCAAGAGTTAGTAGCAGGGATCGGAGAAAATGTACGGGCTTTTATACTAAGTGTATGAAAACATCACGTGACAAAAAATAAACCAATTAGATGGATTTAATCATAACAAAAGTGTAAACAAAATATGTAAATCGCATTACAGAATATAAAATAAAATAATTAAAAATATAAAAATATACAGGAAGTTAAGACAATTACTACAAAAAATAATCAAAACAAAACACGAGTGGGAATAAGGTAAAAGTAATAAATAGAGATTGTCAATATCTGCTATAGACAGGCAAGGACAGATGGCATCATTGACAATCCAGAAGACATGTCTTCTGCATTGTGTATGATGGCATTAAACATAAGAAAAGCATTCATTAATGCCAGAAGGGTGAACAGTGCCAAGTTTGGATATGAGGCGCATTTCATGTCGTTTGCGGCTATCGTTGCTTCCAGAAATGGGACAGAGGGCTCGAATTACCATATCTGAAACACTGTGATTGCCATTATTAAAATGTCTGGCAACAGGTTGGTTAGCATCATTGCCAATAACTGCACGCCGATGCTCACCAAACCTTGTCCTTAAACATCTTCCAGTTTCCCCAATGTAAAGCATCCACATCTGCTGCAAGAGATGCAGTAGATGAGATGGGAGGAGTCGCACGTGAAATGGTGCTTGATGTGAAATTCAGATTTAGGTGTCGAAACGATAGTGGTAGAATCTATAAAATCACAGGTAATACATTTCGACGACAGGCAAAGAAAAGTGCCTTTCTGTGACGTCGAAGCCTGTGCTAGGGAGCTATGGACAAGGGTTTCACGGATATTTTTGCTGTGTCGAAAAGAAACTAAGGGGTTATCGGAGAAAATGGAAGATGTTTCAGGGTTGTTTTTTAAAATATGGAAATTCTTGTTGATGACATCTCTAACTTTGAAATTGAAAGGATGATAGTTTAATACTAGGGGGATTTTGTTTTCATCAAAGGAAAAATTGTTGAGGGTAAGCATCAATTCAGCCAATCAGACCAAAACAGAAGTGGCCGGTTCCTGGTTAGGGCGTTAATCTAGAAAGAATTTGAGGGGCCTTAAACCATCATCATGCGGAATTACAGTGTATAAGGATTTGACGTCCATGGTGAAAATGAATTACCCTCAACAATTTTTCCTTTGATGGTGAGCATTACCAACAGATAAATGGTGTAGCAATGGGAACTAAAATGGGACCCAACTATGCTAATTTGTTTGTTGGTTTTGTGGAAAAACAAATCTTCGAACAGTACACTGATCCCATCCCCGATTACCTTGGTAGGTACATAGATTACTGTCTTGGCACAGCATCATGTTCTCGTGTCGAATTGGAACGCTTTATTAACTTTGTTAATAATTTTCATCCAGCACTCCAGTTCACATGGGAGATCAATGAGACCAGTGTATCATTCTTCGATATCCTTGTATCAATCAATGGTAACAAACTATCTACTCTGTGTTCTACAGTCCCACTGACTCCCATAGCTATCTTCTATTTTCCTCTTCCCACCCCAACCACACCAAAAGATCGATTCCCTTCTCTCAGTTCCTTCGTCTTCGCCGCATCTGCAGTGAAGACGAAGATTTTCAGGCCAAAAGTCTGGAGATGAGACACATTTTGTCCAACGTGGTTATCCTACCTCTCTGTTAGACACTGCCTTTTCGAAGGCCTCCCAAATTCCCCGTTCTGACACCCTCAAAGACCCTGTGTCTAATGTCACAGGCAACAACAAAATCCCCCTAGTATTAAACTATCATCCTTTCAATTTCAAAGTTAGAGATGTCATCAACAAGAATTTCCATATTTTAAAAAACGACCCTGAAACATCTTCCATTTTCTCCGATAACCCCTTAGTTTCTTTTCGACACAGCAAAAATATCCGTGAAACGTACCTTTGTCCATAGCTCCCTAGTACAGGCTTCTACGTCACAGAAAGGCACTTTTCCTTGCCTGTCGTCAAATGTAAAACCTGTGATTTTATAGATTCTACCACTATCGTTTCTGCACCTAAATCTGAATTTCACATCAAGCACCACTTCACGTGCGCCTCCTCCCATCTACTGCATCTCTTGCAGCAGATGTGACATGCTTTACATTGGAGAAACTGGAAGATGTGTAAGCACAAGGTTTGGTGAGCATCGGCGTGCAGTTATTGGCAATGATGCTAACCAACCTGTTGCCAGACATTTTAATAATGGCAATCACAGTGTTTCAGATATGGTAATTCGAGCCCTCTGTCCCATTTCTGGAAGCAACGATAGCCGCAAACGGCATGAAATGCGCCTCATATCCAAACTTGGCACTGTTCACCCTTCTGGCATTAATGAACGCATTTCTTATGTTTAATGCCATCATAGACAATGCAGAAGACATGTCTTGTGGATTGTCAATGATGCCATCTGTTCTTGCCTGTCTATAGCAGATATTGACAATCTCTATTTATTACTTTTACCTTATTCCCACTCGTGTTTTGTTTTGATTATTTTTTGTAGTAATTGTCTTAACTTCCTGTATATTTTTATATTTTTAATTATTTTATTTTATATTCTGTAATGCGATTTACATATTTTGTTTCACTTTGTTATGATTAAATCCATCTAATTGGTTTATTTTTTGTCACGTGATGTTTTCATACATTTAGTATAAAAGCCCGCGCATTTTCCCCGATCCCTGCTACTAACTCTTGACGAAGGGCCTTCGCTCGAAACGTCGAGTTTCTGCTTATTTTTTAAGGTGGTAATATAACCACTCAGCACAGCATTTTTAGTCAGATTGACTTTGATCCTTCATCTCAGCCTAATCCTTAATCTGATTCCTCAGCCTGACCTTATTCCTAAACATGACCCTAATCCTAAAGTTACATTTAATCCCAGCCTTCATCCGAGACCTCATCCTTTACACCCTTCTGGAAAATACGTCCTCTTGGCTATAGAGCCTCGTTTTGACTTACCAAACGTCCGTCAATTTTCATCACCATTGTCCAACCACCGCCAGAGCAACTTAAAACTGACGTCATTTGACAGTACACGTTGATAACTTTATTGTTTCCAACACTGATTTTGTGAACACCACTTCTCTTGTTGCTGTAAGGTAAACGAAATATTCTGTATTTTGAATTTTGGTTTATATAACTTGTAGAAAACTCACTGGAAACTCAAAGCGTCTATAATGAGCTACGATTTTTATGGTTTGAGATGATCGACTAGCTTGTAGGCCTACAAATCTTTTGAAATTTTGCGGTTAAGAATTTCCAAGAGTGCGATTAATCGAGAACGGGTTGAGCAATTTTGATGCTGAAATTATACTAGTTGATAATTGCTTCATCGTGTAACATGTTTGAACAAACATGAAAAAAAGATATGAACAATGACAAAGTAAAGAAAACCATTAAGTACCCTTATTTTACCTTCGACTCATCCATATTTGCATGCATGATTTGTGTGTCAGCACTTTAACATCTTTAAAAAGGAAAAGAGTGGTATAGCCAATGAACTAATAGAAAATAGAAAATAAAACATCGAAATTAGGGCAACGCATCTAAATAAAACTTGCTAATAATCCTGATATTACTTTATTTATTTAATTTTTCTTTATTACCTTTATTCGTGCATCGTCGTAAGTTTATTGTTGACTTCTTGCTTAAACTATTAAGTTTCCCACTGTCATCGCTTTCTCACTACAAATTCAATAAATTTCAAAGCGTCTATACCGACTATACGAGCTACAATTTTATATTGAGACGACTTAATTAATTAGGCCTGTTTTATACGTCGAATTTTGGTCGCGTTGAATGCAATTAAGACATTCACAATAGATAACAAGATGATAAATCTCATTAAGCTTCATTATCTATTGTCTTAATTGCATTCGGACGCGACCGAAATTCGACGTATAAAACAGGCCTAAGGAAATACTTCAACGTTCAAAAATCTTTTGAAATCAGTTTGCGAGATGAATATTTCAACAGTGCATGCAGTTGAGTGTCTTAATTTAAGAGATGATTGCCATTATTGGATGATTGCTTCGTAATGTCAAAAATACTTTGTCTTCACTGCGCAAAATTACATTGGACAGTAACAAAAAGATAAAACAGGGTGCATGAAGAACACCATTATATAATAGTCTAATTTTACCTTTGAGTCATCCATTTCTGTGTCAGCGCTTTGTTGTCTTTGACATCTTTAATAAAAAACAAAAAGGTGTAACATTAGGTGTATAACATTAGCGAATGAACTAATATAAAATATAAAATAGGTAACGCATCTAAATAAAGCCTGCCACTATTTGTCAGAATTCTATATTATATTCTATATTATAATATAGTCATTCACCGTATATGAGCTGTTCTGCAATCTGATTGGTTGAATTGCTCGCCGTATATCAGCTCATAAACGACGAGTAGCGAAAAACATGACGGCGCTCCAAAAACTACATGAGTTTTGCGAAGCAGAAAAAAGGAAAATATTCGCTTTAAGAAAGATAATAGCACAAGGAAAAACTCTCAAAAAAATTTGACAGGTTAGCAAAATACATTTATTACATAGAAATTAGTTTAAATACAAGTTTTTTAAAGAATTAATACCGAAACAACAGCGAAAAAAACATGTTCATTGAGAATATAAATTGTTCCGAAAAGTTTGCAACGAAAGACAAATTAATTTGCAGTCAACAAGCACTTACTATACTACCAAAATCTGTATAATATATCTGAGCTTTTCTGTGAGATATACCGATTCTAAAACCATTTCTTTCACTTCGTCTTCGAGTTGTAAAACAAAAGTATTTCAAATTTTCAAGGCCGAGCGGTTTTTGGCCGAACAAATTGTCAAGACATCGTAACAGAGGATAATTAATTATTGCTTCAGCTAATGGCTATTAAACTATATTATAAAACAATTATACCATTCGCGCTCGTCTTATATGGCTGATAGCCGACTCGGTGCTACGCACCTCGTCGGCTATCAGCTCATATACGACTCGAGCTCATGGTATAATTGTTAATTATATTACCTTTATTCACCATTATAAGTTATTGTTGACTTCTTGTTTGAAACTGTCAAGTTCACCAGTGACATCTTGAATCTTTTTTTCACTATAAGATTAACAAGTTTCAAAGCGACTAGACATGAGCTAGAATTTTATATTGAGATTAACGGGGGGAGGGGGGGAGGGGGATACTTCAACGTGCACAGATATATTAAAATTCTTCTTATTAATATTTCAATTTTCTTTATTTTATTTTACATTAAAAACAGAGTAAGTAATACCCTCATTTTACCTTTTCTATTTACCGTTGTAAGTTTATTGTTGATTTCTTGCTTGAAACTGTCAAGCTTTCCAATGACATCTTTAATCTTTTTATGAAAAAGAGAAGATTAGTTTAATCGTGAAATTCAATTCTTAATTAATTGCGAGGCGTAATTATCCCGTAACTATATTGGTTAATAACACTTTCATTTACCGCTTAAAATCGCCGACCAATTGGTGATCCCAACGAGCTGGCTGTACTTTCGACTTCATGCATGACCTAATGCACGATTCTTGTGAAAAAAGCTGGATCCTCCCTTCCACATCAGGCGTTATCGCAATTCATTTTTCTCCTAATGAGCCCTTTGCATGCATAACTCTTTGCACACTATGATAACAATTGTGCCATCCAGTCTTTTCAGTGTGTTAAAAGACTCAGTATTGTTCGTCGTATTTTAGCTATTATATTCCACAAATCAAGTACGTCAGGTAAATGCCTGTCTGCGCAGCTGGCAGTTTTAAAATGTCGAGGAGTTGAGGCGGGAGAGGGAAATTTTACGTTTACATTTTGCCTGAAAAGTAATATCCGCAGTAAAACTGGTCAGGAGGTAAAAAGTACTTCTTTTTGATTTGCCAATGCTGTCCACTGAGATTGTTCTTTGATATACAGCTTCTTCCTATCAGAAAGATAGGAAAGAAGACCTTCCACCTTTGGAAGTTTGTTCATTGATTGATTGTTAGGGACTACTGCAACCTGTATAAAAATCAACAAAATCGTGCAGTGATGTTGTTTGATGTTGTGATACCACAAGAAGAATTATTCTAAGCACAGAGAAAATGCAGTTTGGCTCAGATTTTCTGCTAAGCAGGGGAAATAATTTGATATAATACATAAAAAACTTATTTAATGACTTTTTATAGCTTACCCCATCATTAATTGTGACATCTTCAGGAACTGAACATGGACCCTAAATAACTAATACATATGAACAATTATATAGACAAATGTCTTATAAAGGGAACCTCATATGGTTTTGTTTCAGATTTTGCACCAGTCTGGTGAATATATACGTTGTCTTAATTCTTAAACTGTATTTTAAAACGTGTAGAAGCCCACCTAAACTGACCCTTCCACCGTAGCTGTGCTCCATTATCAGACTTGGGTCATAAGGTGGCTGCCAGAGGCACCCTTAGAAAGCTTTCGAGTCGATCAGGCTGAGCTGCATTCTTCGCAATTCAGCTTAGCTCTCAGCTGCAAATAAGGATGTATAATAGCACACCCCCAGCCTAGTCCCAGTCGTTCTGAAGCAAGCGCGAGAAAAAACGTGGATGTAGTACGAGACTGGGACCCATGTGTGACGTCACCGCTAAAGGTGCTTCAGAACGCGTAGCAGAATTCAGTATTTTTATTACGGCGGAAAATTTATATATACAAATAACTTTGTAAATACGACAATGTTCGTTGATCATGTTCGATGTCTACATAACCAAATTCAAACTGTATTAAAAATGTGCTCGATTAAAAAAATTTATATAAAAATTTACGATACTGAGTCTGAGCAATATGGTCGTATAATCGTTGATGTTATTTATATACTCGCAAGTTGTGATCAACACCAGACCATACTGGTATACACAACTACGCTTTCTACTTGACAGGTTTAAGTAGCTGAGGAGATTGGAAATATTTGCCTGACATGACTGTGTTGTCAAAACATTTTTAGTCGGAGACTCAGCATAATTTTCAAGCTTCTAGATAGCATTTAATATGGCTTTATATTTTAGTAAACACGAGTCATATTTAGCCCGTTATTCCATTCTGACCGTATGAAAGCGAAACCTAGCCTACTTCATTGTTCCGACAGCATTAGAGCAAAATTAATGACTTAATTATAAACGCAAAGAAAATTTCCATAACATTTTCTATTTACAAATGCGGCATGCTTGGTAACCAGGCCAGGGACCACTTTTTTTAAATCAGGCACCATTTTACGACTTTTACCGAAATCTGCTAGGCTCTCTCGCTCATGAGGCGTTCCGCACAGCACATCCAGGCATACCTCAAAGCAATGAATAGAGAGAGAGCCTGGGACTAGGCTGAGCACACCCCAGTGAGCTCCGTATAGATCTGGAGCGAGAACTCGAGTCCAAAACGTTAACCGCGCAGACAAAAACAATAGAACGGGACTGGAACTGAAGTCCTATAGCTCCTTCAATTTCCGCCATCATGGCAATTTCGTATTTTGACATCGATGTAAAGAATAACACTATGGTTTTATGAACTGATAACTTGGTTAGCGATACGGTCCGTTAAAAACTGGAATTAGCAGGGGGGGATTGTATAAAAGCTGTTTACGACCTTCAGAGCTATTGGACGTCAATGGCCGCCATGAATGACTGACGGAACAGGTTATTTCGCTGACCTCAGAGTGACAAAACGTCGCAAACCAACAGTTTTAGCAACACTAGCTCTATTCCAAACACTATAGCTAACTCTAGCCAAAACCATAATCCTAACACTAACCTAACCCTACTCCAAGTTTGTTTCTAAACCAATCTTGAAGAAAAATATTTTGACAAAATGTCATTTTGAGGTCAGCGAAATAACTTCTTCCTGACTGACGTTCTTGCTTCAGATAAATATGGAGATCACTGCCACCTCCCCCACCCCCCACTTACCTACCTGTATATTTCTAGTTTCGTTCTACCATACCTTTCTCCTTATTCCATTCTCGACACGCCATGTTTCCATTTTTCCAGCACCTTTCCAGCATTTTTCTTTAAACTCCATGTATTTTTTCCAAACACGTTTCGGTAAAGATAAACGGATCCAAAACCAAACTGTGATATTGTCCTTTTCTCTTAAAAGAGTTCCCCCATTGATTGCTTGACATTTTGGTGCGCAGTAATCCTGCTTACTGTCAGGACCAAAACATGCACACCACTGTAAAATCGTAACATCGCATTATATAGCTAGGTTTTTGCTGAATCGGGAAATATTTTAGTATGGACCATTAGGAGACATGCAAAAAGTTTCTGCGGTTTAATACCCAAAAATGGCGAACAAGGCCCAGTCGAATGGCCATAAACAAACTGACTGAATGCAATGTTGTGTTTGATATAAAACGTTTAAAAACTGAGACTAATGATAAAATTTTCCCTAGTGCTCCTTGCTAGCAAATTAAAATTATTAAGGTTGATATTTTACCAATATAGATTGAATCACTGTTAAATCATATGATCAAGGGACCAAAAGTGTGCCAATTTCCAATACAATTCTGTCGCCCGAATCAAATGTTTTCTCGTTTATATTTTAGATATACTTTATCTTTCCATGATCACATCCAATGAATGAAGTTTGACTGTCCTGTATGCCTGAACGTCCAGACATGACACTGTAGCTGCATGACGGTATGTGAAAATGTTTGTATCTTCTAATTCAAACCATAGCATAATAATTACCTGTACGAGCCTGATGTGTCGATATGATAACCAGGAAGATATGCAAAACCAATTGGGCATGATTCTTTGAAACATCTGTTCATTTTATCCTGATGGAATGAAAATGATGGAAAATAAAGTACTCTGCAAGGTACATAAATTAAAATCTTGTGGATAAAATTAGGTATTAAAGTAGGATAGGGTGACATTACCCATCCCAGTTCAGGTGCAACTGAAGCTCCAAATCGCGAACAATTGAACGTCCTTGTTGCCATCTTTCTAGTCATAAGATCTTTAACGTAGGCAATGTTCCCAATCCCTGGGTATCGATGACTGCATCCTCCTTCATCGGACATCAGTAAGTTGGAAAGAATGCGTGTGGATTTGAAGCGGTAATACCTAAAGTGGAGTATTATTTTACACTGTTAGCTTAAAACGCGAACAACAACAACAACAATCAAAACAACAGCAGCAAAGAAAACAACAACAACAATAGTAACAACAACAACAATTGTAACAGCAACAAAACAATAACAAGAGCAATAGCAGCACCGACAGCAATTAAGAACAATAGCAACATGTCAACAACAACAACACGTTACATACCCTACCTCCTCCGCAGGCCTTTCGATGCGGGCGGGAATAATTTGCGGGCGTGAAATTTGAGATCAGGGAAGAACGGAAGGCGACGAAAGGCCTGCTGAATAATAGTCGGTTCCTGGGCAGAAGTGACGTTT